TGTACAGTAAAAAGAGACCATCTTTTCAACGAATTAGGGTGGACCAAACGGATGTTTGTATGCAAAAATAAAATGATGTACTTGGATCATAACTCTAATTGCTAAAAATATATTATAAACTTAAATATGCAATTTAAAGTTATAAAACTTCCTGAAGTAAACACAAGAAAAAGCCGTTGTGATCTTGGCCTAGGGGACCATTTCTTAAATATGACAGCAAAAGCACAATCAAGAAAAGAATAGTTAATAAATTCAACTTCTTCAAAGCTAACAACTTTTGCTTTTTTAAAAACTGGAAGAAAATATTTTTAAAGCTTATTCCTGACAAAGGTTCATATCCAAAATATATACAGAACTCTGAAAAAAAGTGTAAGAAGAAAACAAAAAATGCAATTTTTAAAAATAAGCAAAATATTTAAGAAGGTACTTCAAAGAAGATATATGGATGAAAAACACATAAAAAATGCTCTGCATCATTATTATCATGGAAATAAAAATTTTAAATGTATTTCTACATGCCTATTAGAAAGGATGATATTAGAAGAACTCATGATTTCCAGTGTCATACACATATGAAGCCAGTAGAACTCTCATATACCATTGGTAGAAGTATAAAATGGTACTGTCACCTTAGAAAATAGTTTAGTATTTCCTGAAGAGTTAAATACACATCTACCACTTAATCTAGCCATTCTACCTCTCAGTATTCCTGCAAGAAAAAAATGAAAACATGTCCATGCAAATATTTGTACATCAATCTTCACAAAAGCTCTAATTTTAAGAGCCCCCAAAAGAAAACAACCCAAAGATCCATCAGCAAGTGATTGAATACACAAATTGTGATATAGCTATATTATAAAATACCACTCCACAATAAAAATGAGTAAACGATTGACAAATACAACACATACATAAGTATCAAAATAATTATACTGACTGAAGGAAGTTAGAGAAGGAAGAGTACATACTATATAATTCTACATGAATAAAATTTTAAAAATTAATAGTGAAAAAACAGACCAGTGATTGGGAATGATATGTAAAGGAGAATTATAAAAGGGCATAAGGAAAGTTTTAAGGGTGATATGTTTCTTATCATGACTAAGATGATAGTTTAATGGATTCATACAAATGTCAAACTGCATACTTGAAATATGTGCAAGTTCACTGCATGTCAATTGTACAAAGCTGTCAATTTAAAAAATATTTAAAAATATAGTGAAATATTACCCTCCTATCTTTTTCTTAGCAACACTTATTTTCTCCTCAAGTAACCATTATTACCAGTTTCCCAATTTTTCTTTGTATCTGTTTCCTCTCTGTTTTGGTCTCTTATTTTAAGATCTTCAGGTATCAAGTAGTTACTGATCATTTGCTCATACTGAAAGTTCAGATGACATAGACACAGTTGGAGAAATGGTAAAATGTTTAGGGTATTTGGTCAGGGATACTACTTTTATTTCTTCGTTTTTTTTCTTAGTAAATCTCAGCTTTTTCTTATGAGAAATCCAATTAGCTTTGGCTAGTGAACATATCTAGAAGGTACCACTCAAATCTTCTATTTGTAGCGTGCAAGGATAGCTGTCAGTGGCTTTGTAGAAAACACGTAGATTTTATTGTTCATGGCAGGGTAATATGTTCCAGTGTGTCCTGCAAATAAGGCAGTGGGACACAGGAAATGTGTGGCTTGTGAAGTTTTATAGGCAATTTGACAATGATTAACATCCTATATCAAAAAAGTCACTATCACTTTAAAATATGAGAAATTATACATTAGTCATATCATGCTTTCAAACTACCTTAGAAACACAGACTCTTAATTCACAGGGTGAATAATAAAAAAATTTCTGAAGCTCCTTTGGATTTTCATTTGAACCCAAAAATATTTCTTAGGAATATTTGCAATGTCCTAAAAATGAATATTTTTGAGAAATAGGAAAAGACAAATTAGATGAACATGAACATAGTCAAGCTGAGCCTATAATTGTGACCTCAAAACAGGTGTCCTTTGAAAGTAGTGGCACTTAAACACTAGTTCTGAGGAAAATTTTAAAAGAGAAATTTCTAATGCTTATTGAATGTTGACAACCTTATTAGAATAAATATATCTACTCCCAGAATGACTACTTCGAAAGACAGCTCTCACTCAGATGTACAAATTTACATGTGTCAGCATGGGTGGGAGTAATTAGGAGGTCCAATTTATTTCTTTACAGATGTACTTTGGATAAGCATATCAGGTGAGATCAAGCAAGTTGCCCCACTACTCACCTGCAAAAGCCTATTAGGCTGGACTGCCTCCTGAGGATGTGTGGCTGATGACAGCAGAAGACAAGAAGGCTACCGCTTTGATAAATACCCCAAGGGTCTGCAAAATGGCAATGCTGGGGAGGCATGTGCCAAATCATGTTTGGCTTTGGCCCTATAACTTGTGAGTCTGTCAAGGACTCATCACGTCAATTGGTGGAAAATGGATTACTGTCATTCTTCAAGGCACGGCACATCATTCCCCATTGATTGGCATGCCAAATCCTTCACAACGTAATGAGTCAGGGACGATTCAAATCATCATCCAACTGTCAGCTTGATTGCATAGCCCTCTATCAATGGGATTAAACTGGTGTGGCATCCAAATGTAATGAAATGCATTACTTTACTTGAAAAGTTGACAAGAAGACAGCAATGCAGGACCCAGGAGGCCTAGGCATACAGAAAAAAATAATAATCATAAAAGTTGGGGAGTGAATTGATAGATAATATAAATATATTTTTTCAGCCTCGCAGGAGATGCTGTGACTAAAGGGAATTACTTTTCTCTTCAAAAAAAGTTTAAACTGAAAAGACATTATAGAAATCATCTAGTTGGTGCCTGTTCTTTAACAATAACACCAAAAACTAAACTTAAGTAAAGTGAGTCACCAATGTTAGTTAATGTGGAGAGAATGGTAATACAATAGAAATCATGTTCTTTGGAGGAAAAAAAATAACGTGGTTTTCTATCTTGTTTCTTCAACTTACTACTTGTGTCATCACAGGAAAGTTACTTAGCCTCTGTCTCCTCACCTTTAAGATGGGGATAATTATACTACATATATCACAAAGGTCAATATGCATTGATATATGCAGATCTCTTATACTGTATTACATGTATATATATATTTCATATATACCACAGTTAAGGACCGATTAGGGGAGCAAAACCAAATACAAAATAACTATTACATAGTAGCTATGTTACTTATTAAAAATTGAGACAATTAGGATATTATACCAGTGTTTGCCAAGAAAAAGTGCTGCTGTGTGCTTAATTCGTATGTAGCATACACACAGACACACACACACACACACACACACACATCTGCTATAGAGACTCAAACCAAATTTCTTATTTTTCTTCTGCCTTGGTGATCCCCTTCACTTTATCTCAGAAAAGGGCTATCCCCTGGACAAATATTACTCACCAACATTACTTTGGTTAATGCAGTTTAGGGAAATCATAAATCTTGTTAAAGTCATACACCCAGTAACGGGTGGGGTTTTATTGGTGTGCCTACAAAGCCAGGGACTCTGATGCTCCTCGTGATGATTTCCTGTTTCTTCATCAGCAGAGAACACTCTTCCAGTGTTTTTTTTTAGCTGTTGCACCAGGAGCATGCTGGATCAACTATATAGTGCAACGATAGGTTGTGTTGCCAGAGGGTTGCCTCCCATGTGAATAGTCAGGTGATTAAGTGAAAGTTGTCCACACTTTGCCCCCACAACATTTGTTAAGTTACATTAAACTGATTAAAAGTACATTAGTTAAGATTTTAGAAAAAAAAATGTTTGGGGGATAGGGTGTATTACATCTCTATCTTTATTAACTAAAGGAATTATTTGACAACCTAAAAAATGAAGTATTTGAGAAATTGTTGGGGTACTGAGTCCTGAAACGGGAGGTATCATTTTAAGAACAAAATATCTTCCCAGTGTGAGGCATCAAGACCAGAGCTGAAAATGTGATTCTAAGTGAACTATATTTAGACATCTATTTCATTGTTAGAAGTTTCGCTATCTTTTCTGCCAGATTCTTAAGATATGGATTCTGTGCCAGGTGATGGAAATCATATATTTAGAGTGGCATTGACACTTCATAGTGCATACGAAGAAGTGGCCTTTGATCAAACAAGCTGAAAAAATACTGCACACAATGTCCCTTATAGCTCCAATACTTACTAACGTATTCAAGGGTCTAAGAAGTCTTGTCATGAAGAAACCTGTTTAACTTTATTCTTCCCAGCATTTCGACAGCTTCTTTGACAAGAGAAGTTCTTCATATGTAATATCCACCATAGCACCTAGAACAGAGCCTGGCATACAGGAGAGGCTCAAGAAACACCTGGGGTAAGAAAGGTGTGGAATAAAGTTCACAGTATATTCACGTCTAACAGTTGTTATACAGAAAAAGTTGATTTGACGCACTGTGGCAGGCACTGGGGAAAGAGTATAAAACAATAAACATGACATATGCATTGGTCTCAAAGGAGTTTAGAGGTTAGTAGATGAGACAGAAATGCTCATAAATTACAAAATGTAGGCAGCACCACATAAATATTTAGAGCAATGGCTTTGGCCTTGGACAGACCTGGGTTCAAGTTTTGATGTTGCCACTCGTCTACTGGATGGTCTAAGGTAAGTTATTTAATGAGCCTTCCAACCAGGAAAATGAAGATAACAGTGTCACATATCTCACATGAACGGTATTTGATGTAATGTAGGCAAAGGAAAAGAACGGTATCTTGTTTCATTATTCCCAGAACCATCTAATATTGAAACATAGTCATTGCTCAAATATTTGTTTAGTGAATTAATGATGACTTAATTGATTATATATTTATAGTTTCTATCTAGCACAGTGCCTTATATGGAGTAGGTGCCTAAGAAAGTATTACTGAATAAATAAAAGAATGAATCAGAGGGATTTTTGAAGCTCAGCTTGCACTTTCTCCTGTGTACGTAATTTTCCTGCCCTTCCATTGCATTCCTGGCCATATAAAGGGACATTTATAAACATCTACCATTTTTCTAAGCTTATGTGATGGCTTTGTAATGTGCCAGCTTGGATAAGTGAACTTCATTTGCCATAAATAGTTTTCTTGTGTGTCCCCGGTTAGAGCAAGACAAAAAAAAAATTTCTTTCTTTTTTTTCTTCATCCCTTTTTTGAGGGGAGGGGTTGATATTGCAGGATGAAAGTAAAGGAGCAGCTACTTTGAATCTTATCCATGTCGTCACTTACTTTCTGGCTCTTCTCCAGATATAGAGCAGCAGATAGGCCTGCAGCTGCTCCATCTTCCCCTGGAATATCCCTCCCTTTCTGCGACTCCTGTCCAGATATTCATTTAGCTTCATGATGGACATCAACTTGACCATCCCTATCAAGGTTAACATTGACATGAGTTTCAGTCCACTCCTGTGAGTTCCAGTTCAAAATGTATAAAATATTTTTAAACAACCCATATTTTCCCTTTAGTTAGGGGAACGTAGGAAAATGTCTTTGTTTCATATGAAGATGATTAGGGTCTTTAGGGCTTTCATTCTGCATATTACTTCCCATCTGGAGGGGCAACAGAGCAGTGCAAAGCTCAGCCCAGACATGGGATATGGGATCTATTCCCAGATCTCAATGCATCAGCCCTTGGGGCATAAGTAAATCAGTAATTTTGTGAGTTTCAGATTCTACTTAATTCAATGGATGGTGTCCATTCTTCTGCTTATACAGCTACTGTAGAGATGAGCTATTACATATAAAACCAATACACCTTGAAAAGATATATAAATCTCTAGTGTTTACAATTGTTCAGTATTATTTTGGCATTGTTGCTATTATTCTTTCATATCTATCATGTAGTGAGAACTTACTTTATACTATGCTCCATACTGAGAGCATGTTTCATTTTTTCGTTTATTCCCTGTAGAATAGGCCTTATTGTCCCTATTACACATGTAAGAAAGTGTTAGAAATTTGACTACCATCCCAGAGTTTGTAGCCTACCCTATCTGTACAGCCAGAGTGCCTAGGCATTTCTTTATAACATGCAGAACACATAGAAAAATTATGCAAATTTTATTAATATGTGAATTATCTGCATTAGTTGTAAAATAGTTGTGCTATATGAAGTTACTTACAAAACATTTTTATTAAATTGTATAATGATACAATACTGAATTTGAAAATTATTGCATATCACAAGATAGATCATTCAACCTCAGGCAATGAAAATTGCCAAACCACTTGACTTACATCAGAAATTTTTCAAATTTAGGAAAGGTTATTGTGAACTGCCAAAGTAGTTTAAAGAACTCTCCCTGAGGCATCAACCATCTATCAATCAAAAACTTTCAGCTGATATTTAAGAGTAGCTATTTAACTTCAAGTAGTATTATTTTAATTACAGAAAATTGAAAGTGAACATTTAAATATGGTAAATAGTAAATGTGCATTAAATCATTTGCTATGTCTTAAAAGATGATAATAAGATTAAGATTTTAAGTTTGGATTTTGGAAATTAGCTTGTCATATTGATAGCATAACTGCAATTGGCCAGAAGTGCTTCAGAAAAATATTAAGAATCAGAATGTAGAAAGGCTGACATTTTGATTGGGATAATAAAGAAAAAGCTATTTGTGTAAAAAATATAGACTCTTCTGTGTGAATATGGGTGTGTGCAGTGTGTGTATATCCTAAGATATGCATTGTGTGTATATATTGATGTATTTTACAGAAAAGCTATTATCAAGTAAATATGTGTTTTACTCTCATGGTAACGAAGTTGAGGGAATTTGGTACACGTGTTTAAACTATTCTTAATTTTAAATCTTGCAGGTTGGAGCCAAGACTACAGATAGGTACCAATATTCTAAGTGGGCAGTTAAAAGAAATAAACAATGTGGATTAGTGCAAGCAGGTCAACCTGGTAAAATATCTACTTCATTTTTAACATGAGGTCTAAGATTTCAGAAAATTTAAGTTAACTAAATTGTCAATAAGTTAGCTCGATAAATGGCGAATCTAAAGGAAGAAAAATGATCTTTGATATTGAAAGGGAGATAAAGATAGGAGTTAAAGGGAGTAGGCTGAAATCATTAATTTTTTAAGATATTTAAGTAGGTGAGTTTTAGTAATAAAGTGAAATCCTAACTCTAGAAATATTAGTACATAAAAATATTGGAAATTGCAGCCGTCGGAAGAGTGAGTCTGTAGCCTAGGAAGATAAGTAAATCATGTGAATTGGAGGCCTACATAGAAAGAGAAACCAAAATAGAAAATTAGTATACAAAAACAAAGAGAAAAATATTAAGTATAAGTTAACACAAAAATGCATCTAATTATAGCACACAATGGTTGTTTAGACAATTACTTTGTTAAAGTTAATGACTTGATAGCAAAAATAGAGCAAATAACATATATACACATAAAATAAGACACATTTTAGGAAAAACAATCTAGAGTAAGATGAAATAAATAGATTACTAATAAAAATAGAATATTTCATACATATATCTAATAAGTAAGTTCTAGTGAAATTATGCTTTGAGCAGTTATTGTTTTTTAGGGCAAATACGTATATGTTCTATATTATACAACACTGATATATACAGTTATGGTAATTTAGGAAGTACACAAGTAAAATTATGATAATGTAAATATTGAAGTAGCCAGCTAGAAAAAGTCAAGTGAAAGGAGAGCTTAGTCCTAATCTGTGATTAAATTCTAAGAACTATAAAATGTGTTTGGAAGTATGCTGCCTGCATTGCACAAGTTTTGGACCTTATTATTTTCTCTTTGGTATAACAATATATTCTCCATTGCATATGGTAGAACTTCCCCTGATTGTCTATAAACATTATCCTTCTAAACCAAGATTAGAGACTTTCTTGTGTCTAAGAGCTTGGAGCCAAGACTAGAGAAAGTTCCATTCAGAATCAATGTTTCTGCCCATGGGAATTTGGGTTCCAACCCAAAGATGAGTTTGGAAAACATGAAACACCACACACTTTTAGTACCAGAATAAGGGCTGCTGAGAAAAATGAAATATCTACTTTCATTTTGTATTTTCTGCCTACCTTTTTAAAAATATTTTTCCTCTTTCCAAATTTCTAAGTCTCTTCCCTCCAATGCTTCTTAGGGAAGTTTCTTATATTAGAAAAAGATACATAATTATGACTTTAAATGATTATAATAAAGCTCTCAAATGGGATTTTTAACATTTTTCTAATTATAAAATTAAACTTTCCTTGTGAAAATATCTCATCCATCACCAGCAAAAACTTGAGGTTTTACCGGAGAGAATAAGAGTTTTACATTGCCCGTGAAATCTTCATATTTCAACCACGTTGAAGAACTCTCAGATTCTCCAACCACATTCCTTGATCCCCTAGACGCTGTTCTACAATACAAATGGCTATGTGGCCGGAAGTTCTGTACCACAATGGCACAAGAGTCATGTGCAATGAGCATCCTTGAACCCCGGGCTTAAATGTTGCTTCTTTGGTGTGTCTGACAAATTTTTGAATTAAATAGTACTTGTTGGTCAATCAAAATGTGAAATAAATAAAAGGCCTTCCAATCAACATTAATTCCTTTACACCCTGATCTCTCTGAGTCTACAGAGGCCTTTCCACTATACAGAAGCATGGTCCAAACAGCCTGGACCATGGCTGCCTTTTTTTTTTTTAACTGCTATTTTAAACCTATTATTTGACCTGTCTCTTCAAGGTACTTCTTCCTGTGACAGAAGAGTGTATGAGTAAGTATTTACAGGCCAGGTGTTATGGGTAATAATTGCTTAATAAACCCCACCCTGATAATAATTTCCAGCCCAGTAATAGAATAAAAGAGGGAAATACTACGTTAGCTGTATGTTGTTTGAGAATTTATTTTAGGACAGAGTTTCATGCAAATCATATTATATAGTCAGATATTTACTTTGCTTATGTTTAAAGCTGGGGTTAGGTTACATGTACACACCTAATCCAAGTGTACTGTTCAAAGTCACTTTGTGTGTCCACAGCTGAAAAAATCCCTCTTTCCTTTGCCTGATGGATAAGAAACAGCGTGCTACATTTTTCTTAACTAAGGGTCTCACACATTGGCAATTTTGTCAACCTAGATGTAAACACCACTGCCATGTCCGAATCATAATAAATTTCGTTTACTGTAGTTAGACATTGAGTTTGCTTACATTTTAGTTAAAACAGCCGAAGATTTATCCTTCTGTCAGAGCCACTGGAAAATTGAGAGTCTTGTGCAAGTTGTAAGCTTTCTGCTTAATCTTCTGGAAACTTTTCCAATTTTCCTTTAATAACACCAGGAACCTAGTGGTGTGCCACTTATGGATGAAGGGGGAGGAGTTCTCCATCCCCAGTTCCCCTCCTTTGCTCTGCTGACAGGCCCCACAGAAATGAAATGCAGTAATATACATTAGCACTAACTTATACACCAAGCTGTCACCATCAGGTAAAATTGATCACAAATTACTGATTACCGAATCAAGAAAGTCATCAGTTATATTGTACTTGATTACTTTCTCATAAAAGGAATATATTACTGAATATGGTGAGATTACTCATGCATAAGAATTTGGAACTGACACTCCAGCAGCCCACACTCAGGAGGGAAGAAGAATTGTGCTGAGGAATTAGACTCTAAGTTCTACATAAAAATTACTTTAAACTGGTTCTTAAATTATGGCCAAGACCATAATGTCTACTGGAATAATTTTTAACTGTTTTATGGGCTGAAAGCTTCTTCATCACACATTCTTCTAGGAAGTACCATGGCCATGCTTACCAGCTACCCTCTGTGGTAGGAAGAACCCTGATATTGGTCAAGTTTACAGAATTAAGCCAATGGAGATTATGGAATTTTCTCTAGGACTAGGTAAGAAATAAAACATCCTTTTTCTTTGTGGTTTATTTTCTCCTTCAAGACGTGTTCTGCACTTGATCTTAGCCAAAAGCCAAGAAGCAACTGAAGACCTCTTTTGATTTGTCTTATTCTTCTCTTTCCTTTGCTAGGATCACTTTAAGACCTACTGAAAATTGCCTCTCATCAAAAAGAGGCCCTTCTGCCTGTGGAAAACCATATGGGTCACACAAAAGTCCTAAGACAAATCTTAAGGAAAATATGTGAAGGAGATATTCGCATTCATACATTGTCTATTTAACTCACCTGGAACATGAAGCTGAAGCTTTCTTTTATGATAAGGAGCACACATTTGCCCATATAGAGATAATTTTATCATTGCCAACTGATAGCAGCTGACTGAAATTCAGGCTCTGTGAAAGGAGGCTGATCATACAGAAGAAATATAAAGTTAGGTTGACATCTTACATTTTACACCAAAATACAATTAGATGGGTAAGGCATGGTTTTTCCAAACAAACCCTGGCAAGGTTTTCCAAACTGGGTTATGCAGAGATTTCCAGTGAGAAGCAGCAACAGTATAGATGGAAACATCAAAGAAAAAGGTAAAAACATCTTCCCAGATTGTTTATTCTGGCTAAATTGGTATCCTCTGTCTGAAAATATTTAGGCCAATGTCTTATTTTTCTTTAAGTTCAGGGAACATTATGCTTTTATGTTCAGGGAGTGATCTGTAATATTGTGAGTTTGTGTCATGTGCCTGTCAGCCCCATCCCTTTCACCACATCATCAGCACAGTTGGTGCCATGTGAATACAGCTTGCTTGGCTGGGTTAACAGCACTCACTCCACTCCTGGTGGTGGTCTGCCAGTGATACTTAGTGCCTAGTGGTGGTCAGATGGAGTCACCAAGGACCGGAAGCTGCACAGAAGGGAGAAGATTAGGAAGCCTGTCTTCGTCCACTTGTATAAGTCTGGATGTTCCCACAGCTATTGATCATATTTTTTATTGTCTATGCCCAAATTTTGTCAGCTTTCCCCCACTAGTGTGACCTTATCCCCAGCATTTAAATTGCATAGCAAAGTCATGCTATCAAATGGATGGACAAGCAAAGCCAAGGTTCCTGACTTAATAGGCTTACTGCCTATAGATTCCTGATCCAATTCCATCCATATGTTTGGATTTCTTTGAATAGAGACACCAGCCACAAACAAACCCAAGTCAATACTTGGTTTCAGAATATAGGTATTTGGGCCTGAGTGCAGTGGCTCATGCCTGAAATCGCAGCACTTTGGGAGACTGAGGCAGGCGGAACACTTGCCAACATGGCAAAACCCAGCCTCTACTAAAAATAGCAAAACTTAGCTGGGCATGGTGATATACACCTGTAATCCCAGCTACTCGAGAGCCTGAGATACAAGAATCATTTGAACTTGGGAGGCTGATGTTGCAGTGAGCTAATGTTGCGCCATTGCACTTCAGCCTGGGTGACAGAGTGAGACCCTATCTCAAGAAAAACAATAATAATAATAAATAGAAAATGGGTATTTGACTAACAAATTCTCCATATTGGCTTCAGGTTTAGCACCGCCTCCTTACAAATTATCATGGCACACTGTTCTGACTGAGGAACAAATGTCCGGAACAAATGAGAATTTTACAACTTTAATATTTGTGAGAGCTAAAGAACACATCTTTTCAGAGAAAACAGAGCCCCTTTTCAGATCACATCCCATGGGATATTGAAAAGAGAAAAAATAATAATTGTAACTTAGATGTTTATCTAATTCTTTAATGGTAGAGTTTGAAAGAAGACTCATTGTAGTTCCTAATGTTGGACTGACTCCTTGTAATTCTTTAAAAATATGTTCCACACAATGCTCTATGAAAAATATAATAATCCTGACTATTTAATTATCAAAGCTGGTTGTTTATAACAATAGGATAGCTAATGCTATAGGACAGAAAACAAATGTCATGCAATGCAATTTTTTTCACCTGAGCTTTAGTCTTCAGTAAGATCTGACAAATATCGGCATTATATGTCACTAAAAAGTAAAAGATCATGCTCTGACCTTCAAGAATCTCCACAATATGTACATTATGTTGATGTGCCCTTTGTTTTTTCTATTTTGGTTTGCTTTGGCGGCCTCTGCAATTTCAGGATGAGGGAAGATTGTCTTACCGAGTTTCCAATGTCATCATTTTAGCCAAGGAATTAACTAAAAATGAAGACTACCTCTTCCACTATTTATTTATTTCCCTCTGACACAGCTGGGAGTCAAGACATGTTGAAAAATGCAGATGCCACATATGGCTCCGATGTTCATTTAGGGTGAGCCCAAGTGACTTCACAAAAGCAAGTGTAAACTTTTCCAAAACAGTTTGGTTTTAATTTGAAGTATCTTGAGAAGGAACCCAGCTGAGAAGGTCAGAATTTGTACTTCTTTCCTTTGAAAGGCCTTTCCCTCACATGTCAAAAATGTGCACCATCTCAAAGATCCCAGTCACACCCCTCTGAATCCATGGAGACTTGCCCCCATCTCTGTCACTGTATTCACTCACCTCCTCTTTCTTTAAACTCCTAAAGTTCTTATAATCTCTGTTGTACGTTTTATTATTTAATTATATGTTTCTTATTGCATCATTGGTTTTGCCTCCCTAGCTAGAGGTCTTGCAAATTAAAATGGATGACCATGTCTCTTTCTTATTACATGACATGAGAAATGGTATATATACTCTTCATACAATTATTTTAACTGGTTATTACCTAACTACAGATTGGATTTAAAAGCAGACAGATAAGAAAATAAAATATAAATACTGTTAGGTCCTGCTTTTTCTTACAAAGTAAGATAAATTTATTTCTAATATTAATCATATATTTTTGCTTTTCAAAGCAAATTTATATTCACTATTATGATTGATCCTTATAATAACTCCCAAAGATAAACAGAACTGATGTCCATGTATATATGAGCATGTGTTCATACTCAGAGTAAGTCGAAGAGTCTAAAACTCAAGACTCAAAATTCCCAACTAATGTGCTTGACTCTAAATAACATTGGCATGGAGTCAGGTGCAAGGGCTCATTTTTGTGATCTCAGCTACTTGGGAGGCTGATGTGGGAAGATGGTTTGAACCCAAGAGTTCAAGGCTGTGGTGAGCTATGACTTTGCCACTGTAGTTCAACAGTTCATCCTGGATGACAGAGCATGACCCTGTCTCTCGAAAAAGGTAGTCATAAATAACAGTGGCATGATTTACTTCCCATTTAGAAAAAAATTATGCCTTAGGTTCTGCCAGATAATGACATCATTAAGACAGTGCTACTAAAATGCAATGGAAAAAAATAGTTTCGGCCGGGCGCAGTGGCTCAAGCCTGTAATCCCAGCACTTTGGGAGGCCGAGGCGGGTGGATCACGAGGTCAAAAGATCGAGACCATCCTGGTCAACATGGCGAAACCCCGTCTCTACTAAAAATACAAAAAAATTAGCTGGGCATGGTGGCGCGTGCCTGTCATCCCAGCTACTCAGGAGGCTGAGGCAGGAGAATTGCCTGAACCCAGGAGGCGGAGGTTGCGGTGAGCCGAGATCGCGCCATTGCACTCCAGACTGGGTAACAAGAGCGAAACTCCGTCTCAAAAAAAAAAGTTTCCATTAAGTTTGGCAGACCACAGAAAATATTCCCCTCATATATACAAGTAAAAAATAAATGATTACACACGGGGTTAAAGTAGAATTACTGACAGAAATTTCAGTTAGGAGGCAAAAGTAAGAGAATTAGTCTCAATTCTGTACATCTCCACTCTGAGCCTCCATAATCTCAAAGAAAAGAAGGAGTTAATTTCAAGCATCTCTTCTAGCCTAATACTTATGATTGACCTTTCCGTAACACTAATTAAGAGTAGCTTATTATTCAACTCTATGATCCGTGTCTACTCTATTATTTGGGCCTTGGCATGATACAATATTTGAGTAGAATTTGAATTGAAGCAGTATTTATTTTGAGTTTCTGGTGTTGTTTACCTGGCTTATAGTTTAATTGTTTGGTTCATCTATTTATGCATATTTAAAGAGCTAACTGGTGATTATACTGTTTGTTTAAGAAGTCATGTTTCCCAGAGACATATGGCAAGTTCAATCTAGTGCTACTGAGAAAAAGAAATCCCCATTCCTCGTTAAAGTTTGACGGTGTGTTGAAAAGTTGTTATGTATTAACCCCATATTCAATGCTCTATAACACTATCTGAGACATGCTGAGAAATACAAATATAAGGAAAGGATCCTCCTCTCAAATGCTCAACAATCTTGCTAGGAAGTAAAACATATAAATATGAACAATTTGCTGGCAACTCAAAGAAGTAAATAACAAATAACAAATTATTGGTATGTTTACTGTCAAATCATGTCCTGACAAATGTTTAACAACTGACTCTTTGATGGGGGCTGAGGCAGGGTTGGAATAACCAGATTAGTAGCATTTGCCAGTTTTCATGATGTAAATATTCCCACACTGGTCAATTTCAAGCCACCAACCTGAGGTCGCTGGAAACAGAGTTGGGGACAGGTGTACACGATACGCCCTGGCAAGCCAGTTCTAGCTGACTCCAGCATGCCAGCACTCTTGTAGAAGTTTGGTCAAGCAAGATCTCAAGAACCAAATTGGTTAAGCCTGTTCTATGGAGGAATGTCTCATATCCCTATCTCTGAAGGACAATGGGATAAATACAGGTGAGTTGATGTGAAAGCATTCCTGAAAGAGATGATGTAAGCAATAGTCTAAGTGTCCAATGATCAAGATAGGCTTCGAGAATAGAAATACATCCATCAGAGGACTTATTGAGAATGATTTTAGATAGTAGGTAAGAAAGCAAGAAAGAACTCTTCCGTGATTTGGATTGTATCTTGTAAGTTTGCCTTTCGAAAGATGTGAATGATATCCGCGTCAAGAAAGAAAAACAAACAGTAAAAATTATCAAACCCATTTTCACTAAAAAAATCATTTGATGATTGTAACAACTGTTATTGAAAAATATTTTAAAGTGAAAAACACAAAATTTGGTTATAGAAAGCTCTACAAATCACAGGAAATTCCTGCAGCACAAAATTACTCTGGGAATAGAAAGTTTAAATCTCTCTTTAGCCAAACCACATTGAATTCTTTTAGTAGTTATATTCAGTACTACATTGGAGCCTTTAAAATTCTCTTCTTTTTCCTGCAAATAAATCCATGTTTTGCCCTAGGAAACTTTTAACTTCAATCCTTCTTCACAGCAGAATCCACTGTTATAGCACTATTCCAGAATATTTCCATTCTTGTCAGTATCCCTAAAGATAAGGATTCATTTTGATAATTCATGTGGTTGGATATCAAACAGCTGCCAGGATATCTACCGACATCTGCTGTTCAGTTTTTATCAGTTTGTCCCATCTGGCCTGCATTCAACAGGGCCCAAATCAAGGCTGAACAAAATCACAGGACCTTCAAAAGCAATTTTACATTATTTTTGGAAGCATCAAGTGTTCCTTCCCAGTTGTTAAAGCCACAGACCATGTTGTCTATTGTCCTAGAGACAACTCTGAAACTTTTCAGATTAAACTTTTTAACAGTTTTCTCCATCATGCTTTAAAATTTCTAAACTATGTGCTTAATATTCATCTAAACTGGCTTTATTTGGCTTAGAAACATTAACTATGATAAGGAATATTAAATTATTAGTATGTGCAATCACTAAAATACATGTTAATCATTAATTTAATCTACACAGATAGAGCAAAAAAAAAATTCTTATCTTGAACATTTCCAATTTCTTTCCAGGATTCCTTGCATCTACCTTTGCTCCTCATTTTCATGTAGCAGGTGTCTACTAATATCCTCCTTCATGCCTCACATTCTAACTTGTTGTATATCTTCTGCCTCTGCCCATGCCTATCAAGACAAGAAAAAGAACTAGGATCATAAATGTGGCATGTACCCTGGAACATAAAATTCCACAGTGCCTTTGACTCCACTATCTTTCAACTTCTCCTGAGCTGATTCCTCTACTGTGAGCCTTTCTAGCACATCTCCAGTTCCAGGGTCTCCTTTATGTTTAATACAGACCTGGCATTTTACCTACTTATGTAAAAATTAGATGTACAATTTTAATGAAAAAATAGACACAAAGAAGTTAAATCCTCTTCTAAAAGCCATGTAATGAGTTAATGGTAGAACAAGAAACATTTGACAAAACATCCTATTCTTCCAAGAACTCTCCAGATACAGACAGCAGCACAGTTTGTGCTTGCTAAGGCAGACTAGAAATGCATTCTTTTAAAAATAATTTCAGTTTTTCTTTTAGTTTCTGGGGGTACATGTGCACATTGGTTATGTGGGTATATTTTTGGTGCTGAAGTTTGGAGTATGAATGATCCCACCACCCAGGTATTAACCATAGTACCCAATAGGTAATTTTGTAGCCCCTCCTCTCTCCTCTTCCTTCTCTTTTCCCTCTTATAATCCCTAGTTTCTGTTGTTTTCATCTTTATGTCCATGTGTACCCAATGCTTAGCTCCCACTTGTGAGTGAGAACATGTGGAACTTGGTTTTTCTCTTCCTATATTAGTTCACTTAGGATAATGGCCTTTAGCTGCATCCATATTGCTGCAAAGAACATGATTTCATTCTTTTTTTGTGGCTGCATAGTATTCCACAATGTATACATACCACATTTTCTTAATTCGGTCCATCATTGATGGGCACCTAAGTTGATTCCATATCTTTGCTATTGTAAATAATGCTGTGATGAACATATAAGTACATGTGTCTTTTTGGCAGAACTATTTATTTTCATTGAGTATATACCTGGTAATGAGATTGCTGGCTTAAATGGTAGTTTTGTTTCAAGTTCTCTGACAAATCTCCAAACTGCTTTCTACAGTGGCTGAACTAATTTACATTCCCATCAACAGTGTATAAGTGTTCCCTTTTCCCCACAGCCTTGCCCACATCTGTTATTTTCTGACTTTTTAATAGCCCTTCTGAATGGTGTGAGATGGTATCTCACTGTGATTTTGTTCTTTATTTCAGAAAAAAATGTGGCTGAAAAATCAAAACTAATTAAGCATAAATGTATTCTTGTTTCCACATTGTTTTCTACAAAATCATGATAAAAAGAAATAAATATATAGTTTGAAAAGAATAGCATGTGGTTACATCCTCTCTTTTATTGTAGAATGTTTAACTAAAGAATACTCATTTCCATTGTGTTCATACACTCAAGATTCAGAATTCAGATAATTCTCTACCACAAATCCCCTAAAACAACTCCCACTTTTTTGTATTTGAAAGTATTGTTTTCTGTAAACTTTCAAGTGAATTTCTATAATTTCTATAAAGGACATGATTTTACTCTTTTTCCACATTGTACCAGTGGTTTAGTGGAACAAATAATCCTGTTTAGGTTATCTGTTCATGTTTAGAGGTGACAAGCAAAGGATGGGTAGAATCAGGCTAACTGGGTATCTGCTTTCTAATTCTCATCCTGTAACATCTATGCTAACATCACAAAACCTATAAATGTGTTATCTAATTTCTCTGAACCCATTTCTAAAGTTTGCAAATGGCTGTTCCTCAGGTCTCTTCTTCCAAGAGCCAACCACAATTCCAGGGTGCACCTCATTTCCCACTGGCCAAGTGCCGTGAAAGGGGTTGGATATGCAGAATGAGGTGTCCACACATGTAAGCATGAGGTTCCTTGCAATGCTGAACAGAGCTGGGGATGGGAAGAACAGATCCTTGGTCAAAGATCAGAAGGGGCCTTGGCCAGGTGTCCCACATATCACATTCTGCATGGATTCAAGGAATCCGTGAACTCTGCATTCAACTCTGATGCTCCTCCTGATTTTAACTTATTTACCAGTTTGTTTTATTGAGTTCTGTTTTTTAAATATTCAAATATGTGGTATGAAGACTTCCTTTAATGCATGTTCACCAACCTTGCAAGTGTTAGGTGTGGGTCTGCTTTTTCCCTTCAACCCACAATGAATACAAATGTGTATGACAAGGAAATTTCAAGTGATTTGATTAATGTAGTCAAAAATGCACAAAAATTATTTACCTGAAAATAATAATTCTTTAAGAATTTTGTCTACACATTTAGGCAAAATTAAAATTTATGATGACAGAGAATTTTAAACTTCATTTTATTTTTCATTTCTGCAGTCACACTGATCTATTTATTGACAGGATGTGAAATTTCTACTTTGTTCATTCTATAGAGACTCCAAAACAAAGTAATTCTTTAGTTTCTTTCTGCTATGTCCATTCCAAAAGAGTAGGAAATTTAGCTTAGCTCTCCATTTCTTTGTATAGAGCAATGGTATTTTTATTGAAATGAGAAATTTACATGCTCATTACAAAGTGCTTATTCTTGCCCAAAATAGCTTTGGCATAGTGTTATGCAATATTTCTCCCCAAATCAGGAAATGCTGAATTAACAGATCCAGTGTGGAGAATTTAGAGGTTGTGCCCAGTTACTTTACTATGTCTGTCAGGGAAGTCCCTCTCATCATTCCAGAGTAGTTTCATCTTTGGTTTGAGTGGAACTTTTGTAGCTTAATGGGTGATAATTTCCTCCTGTCAGGTATCTCATATTCTGCACGCCCTTCATCTGGCCTGTGTCACATAAAGAGGAGGGAATATAATTTTCCACCCACCTGTAGAAAACAGCTAAGTTTTATTTCCTATGTGATTCCTAATACACTGCCCCATGACAGGAATTCATTATCCACAAATGAAGCAATTATCCTCAAGAAGAGTGGAATTGAAGCACATAAAGTTTTGAGTCTGATAGGGATGGGTTTGAAGGCTGGCTTTCGCAATGCTTACATGCTATATGATCCCTGGAAAATTGCTGAATGTCTCAACGATTCAGATTTCTCATTTATAAAGCAGAAATAATATACTTCTCTTATGGAATAATTGTGAGGATTAGATAAGACAATAGGTATAAAGTTGCAGGCACCTGGTAGGCATTCAGTAATTGCTATTATTATTATTTGAGCATTTAAATAATCACCACCACGCTGCTATGAGTATTTTACTGTACCTATCACTTCTATGTGCATGATTCCCATGTGACCCCAAGTCTTTTAATTCCAATCAGGCCCTCCACTCAGATGTCTCAGAATTATCTTGATTTGATATGTGCAATATAAGACATCATCAGATTTTAAAAATTTGTCCTCAAAATTCCTGAAGTTAAAGAAATATAGCTACTAGATTCTCCCTCTTTGATTTTTGTAAAGGAGTAATAAAGAAGGTGTGATATTTAAAGTGAAAATTTCTCCCTTTCCTATGCTCCTCTCTCATTCCTTTCTCAAATTCCCATAGCTAAACATGGTTACAGTTTGGTATGTTCCCACAGTGTCATGTTTTACTGCTGTTTCATTTTTCCAGTATATGCTATTTATCACTAGATCCTGAATTCTTTACTTTGCAAATGCCTCGCATGTTTGTTGCCAGTTCTCAGTTTCCCTTCTATTTACACTGCTCTAGATCTTCATCATCACACATCTAAACATCTGCCTGACCCCTGATTCCTCTCCTTTTCCTTCTTCCTTCTCCAACTTATTCTTCTGTTCAAGTTTTATTGCCTGCTGCATCCAGTAAGTAAACCAGTGTACCTGCTTTCAAGACCCTTTTGTATGTATCCCTGTGTTTCTTCTCCATCTTGTATCC